CGGATTCACATTCCCCCGGGCTCCGGCGCGGTGCCGGCTCGGGCTCTGATTCCGGCTCGGGCTCCGAACTTGGGCGAAACTCCGAGCTCGGGGCTCGGTGGGCGACTGTGGCGCCGGTCTGCGTTCTCCTGTGGGCTTGGTTTGTGTCCCTTGGGTGCTCCTTTGGCCGCAGACTCTCTCAAGGGTGTCTGTTTCGAGCTCCCTTGAATGCTGTTTCGGCCGCGGGCTCTCTCAAGCGTGTCTGTTTCGAGCTCCCTTGGGTGCTGCTTCGGCCGCGGGCTCTCTCAAGCCGTCTGTTTCGAGCTCCCTTGGGTGCTGCTTCGGCCGCGGGCTCTCTCAAGCGCGTCTGTTTCGAGCTCTCTTGGGTGCTCCTTTGGCCGCGGGCTCTCTCAAGGGTGTCTGTTTCGAGCTCCCTTGGGTGCTGTTTCGGCCGCGGGCTCTCAAGCGTGTCTGTTTCGAGCTCCCTTGGGTGCTCCTTTGGCCGCAGACTCTCTCAAGGGTGTCTGTTTCGAGCTCCCTTGGGTGCTGCTTCGGCCGCGGGCTCTCTCAAGCGCGTTTGTTTCGAGCTCCCTTGGGTGCTCCTTTGCCCGCGGACTCTCTCAAGGGTGTCTGTTTCGAGCTCCCTTGGATACTGTTTCGGCCGCGGGCTCTCTCAAGCGTGTCTGTTTCGCCTTGGGTGCTGCTTCGGCCGCGGGCTCTCTCAAGCGCGTCTGTTTCGAGCTCCCTTGGGTGCTCCTTTGGCCGCGGACTCTCTCAAGGGTGTCTGTTTCGAGCTCCCTTGAGTGCTGTTTCCGCCGCGGGCTCTCACAAGCGCGTCTCTTTCGAGCTCCCCTGGGTGCTGCTTCGGCCGCGTGCTCTCTCAAGCGCGTCTGTTTCGAGCTCCCTTGGGTGCTGCTGCGGCCGGGGGCTCTCTCAAGCGCGTCTGTTTCGAGCTCCCTTGGTGCTCCTTTGGCCGCAGACTCTCTCAAGGGTGTTGTTTCGAGCTCCCTTGGGTGCTGTTTCGGCCGCGGGCTCTCACAAGCGCGTCTGTTTCGAGCTCCCTCGTCGTCGTCGTGCTTGGAGCCCCTCAACAGGGCGTCGTCATCGTCGTTGCGTGTGCGGCGCCCTTCGACGGAGGCTCCGGCCGCTCCTGGAGCTCCAAGAGCCATCATCATCGTTCGCGTGCTTGGGGCCCCTCAAGGGCGTCGTCATCGTCGTCGTCGTGTGTGGCGCTCTTCGAGGGAGGCTGGCCGTTGGTGCTCCAGGAGCCACCGTCATCGTCGTCGTCGTGCTTGGCGCTCCTCAAGGGCGTCGTCATCGTCGTCGTCGTGTGTGGCGCCCTTCGAGGGTGGCCCCGGCCGCTCCTGGAGCTCCAGGAGCCACATTCATCGTGGTCGTCGTGCTTGGGGCTCCTCAAAAGCGTCGTCATCGTCGTCGTCGTGTGTGGCGCTCTTCGAGGGAGGCCCTGGCCGCTCCTGGAGCTCCAGGAGCCACTGTCATCGTCGTCGTCGTGCTTGGGGCCCCTCAAGAGCGTCGTTATCGTCGTCGTCGTGTGTGGCGCCCTTCGAGGAAGGCCCCGGGTGCTCCTAGAGCTCCAGGAGCCACCGTCATCGTCGTCGTCGTGCTTGAGGCCCCTCAAGGGCGTTGTCATCGTCGTCGTCGTGTGTGGTGCCCTTCGAGGAAGGCCCCGGCCCCCCTCCAGCTCCAGGAGCCACCGTCATCGTGGTTGTGCTTGGAGCTCTTCAAGGGCGTCGTCATCGTCGTCGTCGTGTGTGGCGCCGTTCGAGGGAGGCCCCGGCCGCTCCTGGAGCTCCAGGAGCCACCGTCATCGTCGTCGTCGTGCTTGGAGCCCCTCAAGGGCGTCGTCATCGCCGTCTTGTGTGGTGCCCTTCGAGGGAGTCCCGGCCGCTCCTGGACCTCGCCCCCGTCATCGTCGTCGTCGTGTGTGGCGCCCTTCGAGGGAGGCCCCGGCCGCTCCTGGACGTCCACGAGCCTCCGTCATCGTCGTCGTCATGCTTGGGGCTCTTCAAGGGAATCGTTATCGTCGTCGTCGTGTGTGGCGCTCTCGAGGGAAGCCCCGGCCGCTCCTGGAGCTCCACGAGCCACCATCATCGTCGTCGTCGTAGGTTCCTCAAGGGCGTCGTCATCGTCGTCGTCTAGCGATCTTCGAGGGAAGCCCTGGCCGCTCCTGGATTCCAGAAGCCACCGTCATCGTGGTTGTCGTGCTTGGGGCTCCTCAACAGGGTCGTCATCGTCGTTGTCGTGTGTGGCGCCCTTCGAGGGAGGCCCGGCCGTTTCTGGAGCTCCAAGGGCCACCGTCATCGTCGTCGTCGTGCTTGGGGCCCCTCAAGGGCGTCGTCATCGTCGTTGCGTGTGTGGCGCCCTTCGACGGAGGCTCCGGCCGCTCCTGGAGCTCCAAAAGCCATCATCATCGTTCGCGTGCTTGGGGCCCCTCAAGGGCGTCGTCATCGTCGTCGTCGTGTGTGGCGCTCTTCGAGGGAGGCTGGCCGTTCCTGGAGCTCCAGGAGCCACCGTCATCGTCGTCGTCGTGCTTGGGGCTCCTCAAGGGCGTCGTCATCGTCGTCGTCGTGTGTGGCGCCCTTCGAGGGTGGCCCCGGCCGCTCCTGGAGCTCCAGGAGCCACATTCATCGTGGTCGTCGTGCTTGGAGCTCCTCAAAAGCGTCGTCATCGTCGTCGTCGTGTGTGGCGCTCTTCGAGGGAGGCCCCGGCCGCTCCTGGAGTCCAGGAGCCACTGTCATCGTCGTCGTCGTGCTTGGAGCCCCTCAAGAGCGTCGTTATCGTCGTCGTCGTGTGTGGCGCCCTTCGAGGAAGGCCCCGGGTGCTCCTAGAGCTCCAGGAGCCACCGTCATCGTCGTCGTCGTGCTTGAGGCCCCTCAAGAGCGTCGTCATCGTCGTCGTCGTGTGTGGTGCCCTTCGAGGAAGGCCCCGGCCCCCCTCCAGCTCCAGGAGCCATCGTCATCGTGGTTGTGCTTGGGGCTCTTCAAGGGCGTCGTCATCGTCGTCGTCGTGTGTGGCGCCGTTCGAGGGAGGCCCCGGCCGCTCCTGGAGCTCCAGGAGCCACCGTCATCGTCGTCGTCGTGCTTGGGGCCTCTCAAGGGCGTCGTCATCGTCGTCTTGTGTGGTGCCCTTCGAGGGGGTCCTGGCCGCTCCTGGACCTCCAGGAGCCCCCGTCCTTTCGTCGTCGTGCTTGGGGTCCCTCAAGCGCGTCGTAAAGTCGTCGTCGTGTGTGGCGCCCTTCGAGGGAGGCCCCGGCCGCTCCTGGAGCTCCAGGAGCCACCGTCATCGTCGTCGTCGTGCTTGGGGACCCTCAAGAGAGTCGTCATCGTCGTCGTCGTGTTCGGCGCCCTTCGAGGGAGGCCCCGGCCGCTCCTGGAGCTCCAACTGCCACCGTCATCGTCGTCGTCTTGCTTGGGGTTCCTCAAGGGCGTTGCATCGTCGTCGTCGTACGTGGCGCTCTTCGAGGGAGGCCCCGGCTGCTCCTGGAGCTCCAGGAGCTATCATCGTCGTCGTCGTGTGTGGGGCCCGTCAAGAACGTCGTCATCGTCGTCGTCGTGTTCGGCGCCCTTCGAGGGAGGCCCCGGCCGCTCGTGGAGCTCCAGGAACCACCGTCATCGTCATCGTCGTGCTTGGGGCCCCTCATGGGCGTCGTCATCGTCGTCGTCCTGTGTGGCGCCCTTCGAGGAGGCCCCGGCCGCTCCTGGAGCTCACCGCCGTCGTCGTCGTCGTCGTGCTTGGAGCCCTTCAAGGGCGTCGTCATCGTCGTCGTCGTGTGTGGCGCCCTGCGAGGGAGGCCCGGCCTCTCCTGGAGCTCCAGAAGCCACCGCCATCGTTGTCGTCGTCGGGCGCAGTCGTCATCGTCGTCGTCGTGTGTGGCGCCCTTCGAGGAGGTCCCTTCCAGGAGGTCTTGGCTGCTCCTTGCGCTCCAGGAGCCACCGTCATCGTCGTCGTCGTGCCTGGGGCCCCTCAAAGGCGTCGTCATCGTCGTCGTCGTGTGTGGTGCCTTGAAGCGCGTCAGTCGTGTGTGAGGCCTTTCGAGGAAGAACTGGCCGCTCATGCAGCTCCACGAGCCACCGTCATCGTCGTTGTCGTGCTTGGGGCCCCTCAAGAGTGTTGTCATCGTCGCCGTCATGTCTGCGACCTGAGCGTGTCGTCAAACATCCCCACGAAGGCACTTACCTAACCAGCTGGGCGACCAACCCATGACACACTGAACGCCAATCCGACTGGCAAGGGGCGACGGCCGTCCCTGGGAGCGGGAGGAGACCCCCTGCGCTGCGCGCTGTCTGCGCGTGGGAACCCGAAACCGCCGGACTTGGGAAACGCGCGCGCGCACATAGCGCGCAAGACAAAACATACAAACGAAAAACAATATAAACAAATTTTGCGAGCGGTGGGAGACTCCCTGCGCTGCGCGCTGGCTGCGCGCGGGGACCCGAAGTTGCTGAGCCTGTGCGAGACGCGCGCGCGCACAGAACCCGCGCGGAAGACAAACCGTGCAGAACACTAATAAAATAACACACACGCGCACACTCGCGCCACGAAGACACCGACGACGACGAAAGGCATGAAACACAACGTTTCAGAGACTACGAGGACGATGAAGACGAATCCGTCAGGCTCCAGCCTGGCCGAGATGCGCAGACGCTGGCGCACGTCTCCGTCGTGCGTCATCTCGTCATCGTGCGTCGATGAGCAGCAGACGCACACAGCAACGTTTCCGAAGACACGAAGTCTGGCTGTCAGAATTGCGTGGGCGTTTTCGGTTGCACAAGCATCGACGCCTTCGAGCTCCTGGCGAGGCGACTCTGCAAAATTGATTGTGTAAGCTTTCGCGGAGTGCCACCCTGAGGCGAGCAAGTACTGCCTGGCTGAGCCTCCTCCTTGCCTGCCGAAGGGTGGTTCTCTGTGACGAATCCCGCTGCTGCGGAGAAACTCTCGGCCTGCCGTCCCGCAGCGGAAGACGAGGTCTCTCACCTTCTTTATCTGTAACTAGTTTGGCTCAAGCTCCCTGCTCCTGCTTCCCTGCTCTCCGCGGCGGAATGAGCGAGCACTACCCCTCTCCACGCCCCGCGCGGCTCCTGGCGCGCCGCGGCCCGCAGCAACAGGCGCCTCCCTGGGACAGGAACCCGGGGAACTTCCTGCCCTGCAAGGCTGCGCTGCTGGAAGCCTTGAAGCGCGCGGAGGAGGAGGCGGCGGCTGCGCGCACAGACGCCGCCAGTGCCCGCCGCCTGGCCGAGACAGCTCGGCAGGAACTCGCGGAGAGCTACCGCGAGAACGCTGCCTGCAACTTCGAGCTTGTCCGCGACCTCCTCCAGGCTCGCCGCGAAGCCCAGGCGGAGGCGGACGACGCAGCCGAGGCCCGCGCGGCCCTGCAGGACGCGGAGGCGCGCCAGGAGGCTACTGTGGCGCGGCTCCGCGAAGAACACCACGCTGCACGCGCCGAGGACGCGCTGGAGGCCACGGAGGCGACGGGGTTCCGCTCACCGCGAAAACCGCGCCGCTCCTTGGAAAAGAGACTTAGAAGAAAACACTTTTCTTCTGCGTGTCTTCACTTCCCTAGGGAACGGCGCGGCTTCCGCGTTGCGCGTGGCCTGTGTAGGAACACCTGCAGAAGACCAAGAGGATCCGGGCCAACTACCACCTCGAGGTCGGCCACAAGACTGCTCTGATGACTCAAATCAACACCCTCTCCGACCAGCTCGAGGCCTCACGAGAGAAGGCCGCCAGCTACAAGGACGAGCTGACAGAGACGAAGGCGGAGCTGGCGGCGCAGCGCCAGCGCACTGGAGCGCAGCAGCCGGCGGAGCGCAGCAGGCGCTGCTGGGGCGGCAGCGGGCGCTGGTGAAGGCCCAGAAGCCCTGAGCGGAGGAGCGCTGCGGCCACGCAGCCGGAACCGCTGCGTTGTATGAGAACGCTTGCCGACGCCGCCGCTGCCGCTGCCGCTGCCGCGCTCTCGTCCGCGAGCTTCTTCGGAAGAGGCTCGCGGGCGAGAGGAGCTTCTGCGCGGACGTGGGCTCCCCGTCGAACGCTCCGCGAGCTGGAAAGTAGCGCGGGGGCACCGTTCGATGGGGCGTTCATATCCGCGCGGAACTCAGGGAGCCAAGTCTAACCTCCACGTGGTGGCTCCTGGGGAAGGGCACGGGCGCTTCGCTCAATCCTCCGGGGTCGAGGTCGCGCTCGTACCTTTCGCGAAAGACACTAGCGCCCACAAGGCTTTGCAGACCTTCTGAGGCACACGCCTGACTCTTTCAGAGGCTTCGTTATTGTATGAAAGTGGCAGGAAATCCTAGCAGTTCAGAAACCAAGCTGTGTACTATGCGCACCGCGAAGAATTTTCGGGGCACTTGCCGAATGCGCTGGCGCTCTCCGTATGATTCTCTTGGGGGATGGGCCCTGCTCTTTCAGAGCTACCCGTTTTGAAGCCATCTCGGAAGTCTTCCGATCATCCAGGCCGTCGTCGTCCCGTGGCAGACATCTTTAGGTGACTCCTCTGTCATATCCAAAGATGTACCGCCTGGTCTTCGTCGCCACGAGAGACATCAGAATGCTCTGATGTTTTTTACATTCGAACGCCCAGATTGAGTTTTTCGAATGTGACAGAACACGCACGGTGTGCTCCACGCTCCTCTGGGGCCCGCAGGCGCTCGAAGGGTGTCCGGGGAGATCTAGGCACGCCGCGCTCTTCAATTATGTTGTTGGAATGAGACGTCCCTACTGCAAAAGAACATAACCAGGACCGCGGGCCGAGCGCGCCTGCGCCGCGCGTCGAGCGCGCAGCGAGTACCGGAGTACACGTGTGTCGCCATGCCGCAGTCTCTGGATTGTATGCTCGCGCTGCACAGGGCGGAGAGCTTCCGCTCACTACTCACTCACCCCGCGGCGCAGAGACTTCCCGTTTGCGCGCCAGCGGACTCCAAGGCAAATTGCCATACTCCGTGCACCCACACTTTCCCATCGTACCTCGCTCGCAGCATAACTCTAAGGTTTCCTGTCTTACGGCGCTGCTGCATGGATATACCATTGCAAGGATAATACCTGCACACGCGGGGGCGTTCGAGAATGGAGCAGAAACAAGCGTCGGCGGAGAAGATGAGGTGGTTTGCTGATGCACCGGCGATGCGCTTCGTCTCGGGGCCTTACTGCGTGTTCAACTCAAAGAATGCAGTGTGTACTCTACGTGTTGGACCCTCATAGAAATTTCCCCAAAGATAGTATTCAACCAGCAGACTGGCAATGCATTGGCGATGCGACCGAGTAGCCGTCAACAACTCAGGCACGTGGGAGAGCACCAAGTAGCAGAGGCACCGTAGGACGCATGCTCACTGGACCGCTTATCGGCGAGCACGCTGCCGCAGCATACGACCCCTGCACGTAGCTACTGCGTTCATGGGCGCTCCTTGTTATTTCCTGAATTACATATGGACCCCGCGCCAAGAGAGCGACACCCTGCGTGTCTATTCTAAAATTAAGCCTGCTTGAAAAAAGAGATTTCCAGACTTGGCCATATTGTCAGAAAAAAACCCAAGGAGCTGGTGAGAGAGCACCTGCGGCCGCGGACGGAGGGCTCGTGCTTGAACCGGGAGGCGGTGGCGAGAGCCTGAATTGAAGTGTGTGCGCGTCTTTCCAGTGCTTGGCTCTGTGAGACCACGGGCGCGGGGCTCCGCATGCTCCAAAGTGCCCGTATCCCTGAGATGGAGGTGGCTCTGACGAACCAAAGGGGGTGGTGCACGAGCGCAGAGAGACACGCTGGAAAGTGAGTCACCAGTGGACAGGTGTCCATGTTCCCGCATGATGGGCATGCGTTAGTCAAGATGATGCATCGCTGACAGACTGTGCTTGGTCACACACAGCCCATGTCTGTAATCATTTCGGCTCCAAGACGACTGGACGCTCCCGCAGTTCGCCCGGCCACCACGCTCGCGCGCCTCGACGTCTCCTTGTGGTCGGCCGCATGGCGCCCTCCGCCACTCAGAAGACGGGGAAGAAACCCTTCGCTGCCGTTCCGCTGTGGAAAGTGTTCGGGAAAGCTCAGACCCGCTCCTGGGCGGACGAGAACGGCTTGCTCCTGCTCACGTCTGGCGAGCCCGGCGCGGAGTTTTTCACTTTGGAGAAGGTTCAGGAGCTGCTGACTCCAGAGTCCTCATATCTCTTGAAAGCTCCCGGCCAGGGAGGCAAGCACGCCGTGCTTAACCTCGCGGCCGGGCTCGACGTCGCGGCGGCGCAGCACGCCGACGCCGCAGCCTTCGGCCAGACGACGGGGATGGAGGCCGTGTTCGCCGAGCTCATGGAATTGCAGGGCCCTCTCCACGCTCTCCAAGCGGGCCGCGGCGACTTAGACAAGAACGCCAGCCGCTCGGCAGCGGAGACGCTCTTGCAGCATTTCGGACGGAAATCCTCTGCAGAGGAGCGCATGGCGCAGTACGCAACTCTCGCCGACGCGGCCAGTCGCATGGCGGCGGCGGCGTTCGCGTGCATGGAATTGACTGCGCTCTCCGTCGCGGTCAAGGACTGGGGCAAGTACCTCGGGTCCGGGGACTTAGCGAAGCAGCGCGCCACCTGGAACAAGTTCACATCGAAGCCCAACCTGGACACTCTGGCGGCAGCTTTCGCGGCTGGCATTCATAAGGAGGCTGACGAGAAAGGGGTGAAGAAGAAGAGGTTCTCCTTCGGCGACGCGTGTGCGGAGGCAGACGCCAGCAGCACGTCGACCACGTCTTCCAGCAGCGACAGCGACTCCTCGAGCAGCTCCGACAATGGGAAAAAGAAAAAGAGCTCCAAGAAGAAGAAGGACAAGAAGAAGCAGAGCTCCAAGAAGAACAAGAGTGGCAGCGGGGGGAAGTCTGATGATGGCGCCAAGGGCAAAGCTTCCAAGAAGACCACGCACAAGTCGGAGGACGACACGAAGCGCAAGAAGAAGGAGAAGAAGAGGAAGCCCGACTCTGAAGACCCTGAGCCCGACAAGAAAGGCACGGGCAAGAAGTCTGCGAAAACATCTGGTGGTGGCCGCAAGAGCAGTGGCAAAGAGAAGGACAGCAAGCGCGGGGGCGGTCCCCGCGACAACTCCCCGCCAGTAGAGGAGGACATGTTCGCGGACGAGGACGCCCTGACGCCCTCGGAGATTGCCTGGACTTCGTGGGGAGAGACAGCCGCGACGGCCCTGCTTAAGATTATCCACGACTGTGACGGGAAGCCGACAGATTTGGTCACCCTCAAAACCATTGCCACAGACTTGCCCGAGGACGTCGCAGCCGCGGCGGGTCTTACTTCTTCCTGCAAGAGCGTGGGTGGCCTGGTGAGGATGGCACGCGCGGCCACGGTGGAGGCGTTCGTGGTCAAGGTGAAGACGACGACGGAGGAGGCCCTTGCATGGTTCGAGTCGCAGAAGCCGAAGTCTCCCAGTGACAAACGATCCAAACCTCCGGAGTCGGCGTCCGCCCAGGAAACCGCATTCACCCAGTGGAAGCTCAGCGACGCACAGGCAGCGGGCTCCCAGGCGGAGGTTTTCCTTGCCAGCAGCCCGACATTGGACGAGACGAAACGGTTCTTTGACGATCTTCCGCCAGCGGTCCGTGACTATGCCGGCGTCGCTGCCTTCCACGAGGAGCTCGCGGGCATGGCCGCGGCCCCGAAGAACAGTGTGACGACCCCGCACTTCCGCGCCGTGAAGGCCGCGGCGGACACGTGCGAGGCTTGGTACGCGTCGCAGCAGACTGCTGCGGGCGGCGCTGGCGTGCCACAGCCCAAGAAGAAGCCGTAGGGGTTCGGTCTGCCAGAGAGGGCGGGCGCCTGTGAGTCGGCCGCGTGTGGAGCACACGGTGCACGGCGGTGAAGTTGGGAGGGGGAGAGAACACAGGCAATGCAATGGAAAGTGGGGATCGCTGTGCAGCACAGAGGCGCCCCAGCACGATGTTCCCGTTTTCGTGCTGCAGCCCAGTCTTTTCGTTTACGCGCGGTTCCCGATGCGCCTCTGCACTTACGTGACAAAGAACTACCACCCAAGAAATTCTTCTCTTAGTCTGACTCTCATACTATCGTCTGTTCTGCCTTGGAGCAACGCCCGATGCTTTGGCGATGCGCTGCTGGTAGTTGGATCACTCCCGGGCTGGCCGACGCAGTGGCGATGTCGACATTGCAGGGCACGAGCGTCAGTGGTCCACGTGCACATCACGTTGTGTACCTGATAGTGAGACAGAAGGCCACGGCACGACCGAACTCAATGCATTCGGGATGTGCATTCTTGGTCGTGCCGAACACGCACATATCAACGCAGGACCACGGGCGACGCATCGGAGATACATCGCCGTGATGACGTAGGTTTGACGCCTGCGCGACCAGCCGTCCTCGTCTGGTTGCTTCGCAGGCCTGAGATTCGGACATCAATTCTGCATCCTACACTTCCGTGCGGGCGGACCTGCGAGCGCGTGGCTGCCCGCGACCGCGCATGTCGCAGATGATGGAGAGCGCGCGCAAGGCAGAGTTGCATAGCAGCCCAGGACAGGCACTGGCGCGCGCGCCGCGGCAGCCTCCCTTGCTCGTCCACGCCTGTCACAGAAGTTTCGGCTTGTTGAACAAGGACAACAGATACAAGCGCTGGCGACGTTGATGATGCCTTTTTAGATGCTCTGGCGATGCAGGTCCAACATGGCGTAGCCGTTGAGAGTGCGCGTCCAACGGAACGACATTCCAGTAGTAAGCTGGCGATGCATTGGCGACGAGTTCGAGTACCCGTGAGCAACTCTGAAGAAGAGGAGAGCAGTGATATTAGAAAGAGTTCCGTTGGGCGTATGCACGCTGCCTCGCACCGCGCCTCATCAGGAGCTCCCTTGCATCCGTTCCGATTCGGAGAATCCCGGCGCCAGCTCCCGCGTG